TGGCCCTCTATTTTGCTGAGGTCGGGCTCTAATGTCTGTCCTGGACGCTGATCCTCAAGTCTTTCCTTGACTATGATCTCTAATTGGGGTCTGTACTGTAGTCTGAGAACGCACAGGAGTCTGAGTAGCGGTCTGTTCAAACGAAGCTAGCTGAGGACAATCCCTCCGAAAATGATTACTGGATCCACACTGATAGCAAAGACCCATCTTCTTACGACACTCTCCTGTGTGTCGTTTACCACAATACTCACAAAGGGGCCCATGAGAATACGACGAGGAACCACCTCGACTGACAACTAAAGGTGAGGATGCTGCAGGCCTGAAACGTGTATTGCTTCTCTGAGGGGTTGAAGTACGAGTCCTCTTCCCGGACTGTGCTGATGACTCAATAGGGCCTAAAAATTTCTTAGATCATTCATGATCAACACGCTCTCTACCAGAAGCTAAAACCTCCACTTCTTCAGCATCTTTGGCTCTGCCCACCAGCACATCAAATATCTCATCCTGATGAGTTATAACTTGCCTACGCAACTCGTATCTGAGTCCAAGGGAAAATTTACGACATTGATCTCTCTCAGTAGGTACCATACTGAATCCATACTTCAGCAACTTCAAGAACACGATCTCATACTCAGAAACGGTCATGTCTCCCTGAACCAGGTCTTGAAACTGCTGTCGTTTCTGAGCTAAGTAACGCTCTCCCAGAAAATGGCTCTGAAAGCGATCCTTAGAGAAATTCCAGGTCAAATGATCGGTAGGAACACTACTGGTAACTGACTCCCACCAAGTGTAGGCATTGCCATCTAACATCGCTACTGCCCCCAAATATCTCTTAGTTGAGTCCAAACCCAACTGATCCATACGTCTTTCTGTATCCTGTAGCCAATCCTCAGCTTCAGTAGGAGCTCCACCAATCTGTCCCCCAAAATTTCTAACTCCATTGGCAATCAAAGTCTGTGAAATAGGAACCTTGGATACAACACCAGTAGCTCTGACCGCTCCCTGTATTAATTGCAGAAACTGTCTACCAAAATTCTTATCCAATGCAACTCTGGTAGACTCGGACTCAATATTCGTCGCTCCTATGATCGGTGTAGTCATGCCAATACCAGCGGCAGGAGGCAGATTCGTTGGGGTCGTAGGAGCATGATCACCTATCGGAGGTGGGGGATCTACCCGTATCTCATCGATCGGATCTGCAAATCTAGCCACTCGACCTCGTCCACGGCTAGTTTGACGACCACGTCTAGCACTCATTTTGATGGATCTCAAGTTTACTACAGAAGATAGAACTTAGGGTTAGATAAGCACTTGGAGTCTCGAACACAGTTAAAATCTTAATAACTTTGTGACATGGCCTTTGTAACTTGTTTTGTAAAATATTTCAAAATTGTATTTTCAATGTGGACTCATACACAGTTTGAGGGTTAAAAACCAAAAGCTCTGATACCAATAAATGTAACCCCCTAGACCCGGCCTATGCGTTTTGACTAAGTCTAGTGGATCACATACATGATTCTTAAAGACATTTTCTGAAACCGTTATTCAATCATTGTAAAATCACATTATAAATGACATGATATTATACTATCAAAACCCAACTCATAGATATAATACCAATAAGTAAAAAAAATTAATTTAAAACATGTCTTAAAAATCAAAATCACGATAAACCGAATATTAATAGCAAAAGTGTAATCACTATAAAATCCAATACTTTAAAATAAGGTCCATGTCACCAAAATAAAGTCAACCTGAATGATAAAAACATTACAATCAAATATACTTCAAGAGATATGTTGATCCTCCAAGTGCTCAATCCGGGGTATCTAACCAACAGTATCTGAAAGGGGGAAAAACATTTTCGAAAGGTGAGCTAGGCTCAGTGGTCCCACATTACCATAAAATCACAATAGGTACAATAAACGAGTAATAGTTCAGTAAACCATCATAATTTCATAATAGAGTTTAACTTTTAAAAATCATAGTTTAAACCCTTTTCTTGTGCACCATCCGCAGTTCCCAAAACTGCGTCCATATAGCTTACTTTAAGCACATAGCAAAAAGGAAGCCAACCTAAGGATAGGCTTTAGAGCTTGTATCCTTAAGCCCGTAAGTTCATAAGTCCATATAGCTTACCTTAAGCATACAGTAAAGGAAGCCAACCTAATGAAGCATCTTGGGCCAGCGAGTCTACCCAAGACTCACATTAGGTACGTACTGTTTATTAGCTTGATCAGAGCTATACCATTGTAATTCAATCCAACCCTAAATCAATATTTTCAATCAATATAATTTATGCAATAAGCATAATTTCCATAAATTCGTAATCATATATATATATATGAAAACCAATAATCATATATCAGTCATTGTCCATAAACCATCAATAAACAGTAAATCATAGCTTTCAATGTACCATATTTCAAAATAAATAAAACAATTAAATAGTACTTAGGGAACACACCTCGATAATAGGTTCAAATAGTAGATTTACTGATTGCTGGTTTCACCACGCTCTGCTACAGTTTTCGAAAGTGGTTTAACTGATCTAGAAGAGTTGGGTCGAGCTGTCGAACGATCCGAAAAGTCTCTTATACCTTCAAATAATAATAATTTATCAGCCCCAAATCTTACTTAATTGTTCAAAGCTAAAATTCTTAAGTATATAAGTATTTTTAGGGTTTGACTATCAATTTGGAGGATTTTGAGTATGAATTTGGTCAAAGGTATTGCGGAATCGGAATCAGGACGTCGAAAAACATAAAGTATGACTTTTCGAAAATTTAAATTCTTGGTCAAAGTCAAAGTCAACCACTTTGACCATCGATTTGGAGGCCTTCGGGTTCGACTTTGACGAAACGAACTTCGGAAACGGATTCGGTACGTCGAAAACTATCAGAATAGGTATACTCGGAAAAGATTAATGGTCGTTTAATGGTCGGTCAAAGCCATTTTAAGTTTTGGTCAAAGGAGGTCAACGGTCACGGTCAACGGTCGGGTCGGGTTAACGGTCGGGTCGGGTCAGACCGGTCAAACTGATTCAGACCGGTCAAACCGGTTCGAACCGGTCAAAACCGGTTTTCCAACTTCCACTCTCCCTGTGGCGGCGCATGTGGCGCGTGAGATTTCCTCTGGGGCTCTAAAAATCCCGAAAAATTTCTAAAAATTATTTTGAGCGATTTCGAGATACTTACAAAGATCGGTTCAAATTTTTGAACGGTGGAGAACTCAATTTCAACTCGGCCGAATCTTTGACTGCTCCACCTCCTCACGCGCCGCCGTCGACTGAGACCGAGGATGACACCGGCGGACTCGAAACGTCACAAGGAACACGATGGTGCAGGAGGTGTCGTAAACGGAGCAACGATCGGCGGTGAATTTGAGATTTTTCCGGCGATAGAGCTAAAAAAAACGTCGATGCTTTGACTTGAAATTCCTGACGTTTGGCAGCGTTTCGCTTCAATTAATTTAAGGGGATTGTTACTGACTCGATAACGAACACGATGGTGATTTCAAAACGACGATCGGAATTCGGACGGCGTCGGGATCTAAGTCGGAAACCGGCGTAGGGGGAAGGGAATTTGGGAGAAATTGAGGTGTGGTTTTCTGTTTTGAAACAGAAAACCACGTTTATAACATAACATACCTAACTTTCTTGGGTAAATTCAGGGTTTGGTCCCTAAATTTTCTTTAACTCTAAAATAAGCTCCAAGTTTAAAAATCTTTCAATTTAGTCCCCATAATTTACCGATTTTCATAATTAAAACCTCCAATTTCAATTAAATATTATTTTGAAAATATTCGGGTTGTTACACATAAGATTATTAGTTTTGTGGGTACATTTTAAAAAGTACCTGAAAAAATCTATCTCCAATACTAAAGTTTATGTACATTTTACAAGCACCTAACAAAGATTAAAACATGCCTATAGAAGGTTTGAATGGAAGTCTATTGATAATATCATAAGCTTCATATAAGTGACCGGCTCGTGCAAGACAGTCACCATACAAGCACAGTGATTTGTTCTTGGAGATGCCACGTGTGTGAGAGATTCACCCATCAAAATTAAGTATATGACACAGGTCAATCTGGATTAGTCAGGGTAAAACTCTAGAGAACCGGGAGGACAACCAAAATAAATAAATAAAGGCTTATGGGTCACTATTGGCCCTGCGGTAAACTCAATTTATCAATTTCGTCCCTATCATATTTTTGCATCAATTTAGCCCTCAAAATTATTTAGGGTATTCATCATGACCTTTTTAACTAACAGAATTGTGAGGCTTTTGCATCTGTGGATTAAGTGATTATGTTAAAATATTTTATTAAACACAATGATTAGAAAAAATTCTCAAAAATTATTATTTATTTAAGTGATATTAAGAGATTAGGTCAAATTTTTGAAGATTTTTTCTGACAATTGTATCTAGTAAATATTTTTAATAGTTTATTATTTATCGAAGATTAATACATATCACGTCGTCATCAAGCAACGTTTGTAATATTGAATGATTTGAAAATTACTGGTGTTCACAAACACAGAATACTAACGGATTTTGAGTGCTAGTATAAACACCTTAAACAACTTCGAAGGTTAAATTGATACAAAAAAATAATAGGACGAAATTGATAAATTGAGTTTACTAACAATGACTTTTTAAGTAATAAATAAATTTCTTTGATTTAAATCAAGACTTACCTCATCCACAACATTTAACTCATACGAAAATCCATTAAGTTAATTTTCAACTTTAATCACATTAAAGATTTTGAAGTTACAAAATTAAGGTAATGACGGACTTATATTCTTGTCCCTAAAAATAATAAATTTCTAATGATTTCACATCATTGTCGGGAAGTTCGATTTGAGATATACCACTGTTATATATGACCCTACATTCATCAATAAGTATCATGACTTGAATCAAGATATGTACTCAGCGACAACATTTAATTTGTACGGAAATCAAGATAGGCACTTCGCTGCAATCCCTGCAACTGCCTTAGCTATGGTTTGCTTCCTTAAAAAGCTGTGCATGCACCGGAATTGTTTTGTTTCTTTAAACTCTTTCCATTGGATCAGACTCAGATGTCTGATCGGAAAACTGGGTTTATGGCAGACCAACTATCAAAGACAACTTCGATCTTCGGTTTACGATTATGGGCATTCTTGGAGTTTGTGTTGGAACAGCTTTTGTTCTCTTTCTGTTCCTCATTTCCCTTTGGCTCGCTTCAAAACGAACTAAACGGAAACCTTGTTCCAAACCAAGAATCCCGATTGTTTCCAAGGAGATCCAGGAGATCAGACTCGAACCCCCAAAGCCTCACAGGACTCAAATTCAAACTGACCCTGACCCTGACCAGAGTATAGAAAGGCAAGCCTTGATTCTTCCTCTTGAAGAGGAGAGCCCTATTGGTTATCGTGGAATTCACATTGAGATTGGGAAAGATCATGGGATTTCATACCCGGGTTTATCCACACAGACAAGTGGGGAGGCACGTGTAGCTGGACCGGTGCCTGAAGTTTCACATTTGGGGTGGGGGCATTAGTACACTTTGAGGGAGCTTGAGGATTCCACAAATAGATTTGCTAATGAGAAAGTGATAGGCGAGGGTGGCTATTTTGGAGGATAACTGTCAGGTTGCTATCAAGAACTTCAAGAACTTGCTCAACAACAGGTGATTTTACTCGCTACCATCATCTCAATTGCTGAACTAACTAGTGACATGAAGCATCTGGTAATCTGCAAGGGACAAGCTGAGAAGGAGTTTAAAGTTGAAGTGGAGGCAATTGGACGAGCTAGACATAAGAATTTAGTAAGGTTGCTTGGTTACTGTGCCGAAGGAGCTCACAGGTAGTCTGGTTTTGCAGTTGTATATCTCAGTAACTAAATGACATTTCATGCAGAAAACTCTTGACAATTACTTGTTGCCGTATTGTTAGGATGCTGGTATATGAGTATGTATATAATGGAAATTTGGAGTAGTAGCTTCATGGGGATGTAGGGCCAGGGTTTCAAATAGCGGCTGTTATTTTGCGGTACTGCCGCCGTCCGAAAATGATATTGTCCGAAATAGTGGTGTGAACGCGAAATCACACCGATAGCAGCCTGAACGCGGAATCATACCGATAGCGGCCAATAGTAGTCGTAACTTAACGGGTAATGGCCGATCGCTGCGATAACGACCCGCTATTCCCGTTATTTTTTGTTACATCAAATTAGTCGAATACAACAAAAAACGAACTGATTAAAAAAAGGGAAAAAAGAAAGATAGGAGAACTCACCTTCATCACAGATAGCCGGAAAGTTTGAGGGTCATTGCAATCCAAATTACCGAAAGGTAATTTCTTAAATCTAGGGATTGTTGTTTGGTTTTAGGAAAAAGGTGGGTTTTAGAATTGAGTTTGGGGAACAAGCCGAGTCTTCTGAGACTCTTGGACCATCCCCGACCAATGTGGTTGGCCGTCGTTTGTGTCCATGACCGATGGACTACACGGTTGAGGGGGCTCTAAAATTTTCCTTGGTTTTGAGAAAAATGAAGAAATGAAAGGTGGTATCAAAATCCAACTTTTGGGTTACAAGCAACCATATGAGCGAAGTTGTTTTTAGAGGTGGGGTTTCACGAATTCGGCACATGGGTAAATCTCTCAATGAGACCCTTTCCATTTGTAAATTTTCCTTTTAGTCATCAAATGAAAATTTCAACTTTTTGATTCAAGATTATAATTTTGTTTCAATTTTCGTTTAGTCCCCTGATTGAGACTTTTATGTATTTTAATTTGGTCTCCAAATTTTATGTGTGTTACAATTTAGTCACTTTTCGAGACTTTATTAATCTTTTGATTTAGATCTTTTATTTTATACATGTTCATTTTATTAAGTTATAATATGTTATTTTCGTAAATGAATCATAATGGTTAATTAATTTTTATCCATTTTACTTTTTTTAGAGTTTTTTCTATGCTGATAGTCTTACTTATTTAAATAATAATGACTCTTTAAAATTATAATTATAATTATTATATTTTAAGATAAGTTGTGCGAATTTTAAAAAAAATTCACGACCGCGACACTTGCAGTGACTGTGATGGCATCCGTTATGTCTACAACGCGATAAACACAATGCGACTGTGAACCCTATTTAAATCCTTGGTAGGGACTTTTAAATCCTCTGACTTGGGATATTCGGATGAATATAATCCTGGGAACAGCAAAAGGGTTCGTTTGAGATCACATGACTTTCATTTTGGATTTTATTTGTGTTATTTTCTTCCTGCTTTGGTTTAATTTCTCATAACTGGATTGTTTATTAGGTTAGCGTACCTTCATGAGGGGCTTGAACCTAAAGTTGTTCACCGTGATATTAAATCAAGCAACATCCTTCTTGACAAGCGTTGGAAACCCAAGGTTTCGGACTTCGGCCCAGCCAAGCTCTTGGGATCTGACAGCAGCTACATTACAACTCGAGTTATGGGAACATTTGTATCGTAACCGGTTTTTGTCCGGGCACGAATTTTTTATTTGGCGGGAAAAGTGATGTGAATAAATAGTTTTTAAAATAATTTGGGAGTCGCCATCGGCCTTTTGGGTCAGGTAGGTCGAATACCTAAAAATCATCCTTTTAAAGAGTTTTTAAGAAAACATCGATTAAAAGATAAACTGATCTGCGTTTTAACCAAAAATTCGTTCTTTTTAATAATAAAAAGGGATTCGTGGTCGGTTACGTTTAGGGAATGATTAGTACCCCTACAACGCCCAAAATTGGTACTTTTTAATTATAAATTGTCTCTATTATTAGAAATTAAAAATTCAAAGATATATTAAATTATAATCTTTTTTTATTTCAAATTTATGATTTTGTGAAAATATATTAATATAAATAAGATATTTATTTATTTAGAAATATCAGAAAATGGCTTCTAGGTTCTTTAAGACAGCTCTTTTCTTTGATATAAAAATAAATAAAACATTTATTAAAAGTTAATATAGGATTTATAAAAATAAGATATTTAGTAAAAATATCAGAAAACGAACTTCTAGGTGTTTTAAGACAGTCCTTTTCTTAATATTGAAAAATAAATATATATTAAAATATGATTATTAAAAGTAATTTATGAAATATAGGATTTTAATAGAAAACAAATAGAATAAATAAACAAATATTATATATATATATATATTTATTTATATAAATAATAAAAATAATAATAATGAAATAATAATTAAAGCAATAATAATAATAAAATAATATTGCAAATAATGATTAAAATAAAAGGAATTAAAAATATAGTATTAAAATGTAAAATATTAAAAATAAATAGTCAAAAATGAAAATTTAATGATTAAAATGTAAAATTATAAAACTAGAGTCCTAATTCGAAATATATAAAAGGTGGGCATTAAAAGTGTAATTTAACCATAATTCATAATACGGGATTAAAATAATAATTACTAAACTATGAGGGACAAAATTTGATATTTACCTAAATATATATATATATATATGCTGATAAGGACTAAATTAAAATAATATAAAATTAGAAGACTAAATTAAAATAATCAAAAATTGCTTTCAGTGACTAAATTGCAAGGTATACAAACTTGGAGCACTGCGGACGGGGTTTACCCTTTATAAAATTACAGAAACACCCTCCCTCAAAACGGCGTCGTTTGGGAGAGAGTATTTAAATACCCTAAACGGTTGTCCCTTCAGGCCAGCATCCTCATTTCTTATTTCTCTCTTTTCTCTCTAACTGAGAGAGAATTTTTAACTCTCTCGCCTCTCTCTAAAACTGAGAGAGAGACCACCGGCTGGCAGCCGTGCTCCAGCGTCAGCAACCACCGCTGCCGGTGGCCGAAAAATTTCAAAATTCCCAAGATAAAGATCAGAACATCCTAAAGACGAATCTGATGTCCTTTTTCTCTAAAAAGCCTTGTAGTTACCTAGATCTACATAAATACTCTCGGTATTTCAATTTCTTTTGCGGCGTGTGGAGGTTCTGACGACGGCGTAGCTTCCTCGGTGGTAAGTTTTCTCCCTCTATTCTCTCTTTGCTTTTTGATTTGTTGCTATGGGTTTTGTTTGACTTGCTGTTGTGGTCTTTTCGGGTTCTTGCTCTCGTTTCTGTTATCTCCGGTTCTTCCTCTCTGTTCCTTTATTTTGCAGGTGTGGTGGCTTTTATAGCCACCACCGAGGCTTTCATCGGACCGGTCCCTTAGGAAGCTTTCGGTGAGTCACAATAACTATGGTGGTGACTCACCATAGGCAACAACGTGGACGATCAGAGTCGTGGCAGCAGAGCTTCTAGAGGCTTCGGCGGCGAGGTGGTGTGGCACTGGAGTGTCGGCAGCTGGACGTTGGACCACCTGGCAGAGGCGACGGCTGGCCTTCTGGAATCTTGGAGGCGGCGGCAGCAGTGCTAGGGTTTAGAAACCCTAGCTGAAACCCTAAATGTTTAGGGTTTTATTTTGGTCTGGGTCGGTTCTGGTTGGGCCTGGTTGTAATCAGGCCAGAGTTGGGCCTTCGGGCCTGAAGTGTAATAAAATAATAATATTAATAATAATAATAATAATAATAATAATAATAATAATAATAATAATAAAAACAAAAATAATAATAGTAATAAAAATAAATATAATAAATATAATAATAAAAAACCAAATGTAAAAAAAACTAGTGTATTCAGCTGCCCCTCTTTGCTCATTCTTGTGTTAACAAGAATAGGGCAAAGACGAAAAGACAATAAGTTTTTTTCATTTAACTTCATTTGATTATGATGGTAATGTTGAACAAAATCTTCTTTGGGATTAGTTCTTCTTATTATGAACTTTTCCACTGGGGATGATAATTTGTCTCCTTTTGTAATGTAATTTAGCAAAAAGTTAACAAGTTCTTCTCATTATGAACTCTTTTACTGGGGATGACAATTCATCTCATTCTGTGATGTAATCTGGAAATGTTGATGTTGATCTATCTCCTTCTGTGATAGAATCATGCAAAAGATTGAATAAGTTCTTCTCATTATGAACTTTTCCTTCATTCTTCAGATGAGTTCTTCTCATTATGAACTCTCTCTGGAAAAGTTGATCCATCGAGTGATAAATTTGAGCAAAAAGTTGAACAAGTTCTTCTCATTATGAACTTCTTCTTCTTTCTTCAGATGAGTTCTTCTCATTATGAACTCGCCCTGGCAATGCTGATCCATCGAATGATAAATTCAAGCGAAAAGTTGAACAAGTTCTTCTCATTATGAACTTCTTCTCATTATGAACTTCTTCTTCCTTCTTCAGATGAGTTCTTCTCATTATGAACTCGACCTGGCAATGTTGATCCATCGAATGATGAATTCAAGCGAAAATTTGAGCAAGTTCTTCTCATTATGAACTTCTTCTTCCTTCTTCAGATGAGTTCTTCTCATTATGAACTCGACCTGGTAATGCTGATCCATCGAATGATGAATTCAAGCAAGAAGTTGAACAAGTTCTTCTTATTATGAACTTCTTCTTCCTTCTTCAGATGAGTTCTTCTCATTATGAACTCGACCTGGTAATGCTGATCCATCGAATGATGAATTCAAGCGAAAAGTTGAACAAGTTCTTCTCATTATGAACTTCTTCTTTCTTCTTCAGATGAGTTCTTCTCATTATTAACTCGACCTGGTAATGCTGATCCATCGAATAATGAATTCAAGCGAAAAGTTGAACAAGTTCTTCTCATTATGAACTTCTTCTTCATTCTTCAGATGAGTTCTTCTCATTATGAATTCTTCCAGAAATGTTGATCCATTGAATGGTGGATTTGAACTTTGCTAAAATCTTTAAAATTCCTGTCAAATATTCAACATGGATAAAATAAATGAAAATGCTCCTATTTTGCAAATGTCTAAATATGATGCATGAATGTTGATGCAATCTTCATTTGACTTCAAAATGGTGAACTCGATTTTCCTCCACTTCATCATTTATTGCCAGGGTCACCTCTAGATATCAGTGTAGCAACTTATGCTATCAAGCTTGCATTTCTGAAGAACCATCTGATCAACTTGTATCTTTATGTCTTCTTTGCTTCATGAAAGTCTCAGAAGAATTGTTTCATTTGTGGAACTCTTGTCGTAGTCAGAACTATGACCTTGATGCCCCATTTTGTCTTGGATAAAACCAACTTTCTTTGCTTGGAGTTGTGCAGAAATCCGATAAAGCTTTCATCTTTGAAAAGAGAATCTGTCATCTTTAAAAAGGGAATCTATCATCTTTAAAGAGTGTAGATGTAGATATACCTGACTCAGCAGGGATTAATTAGAAGAGTAAAGTCTGTTTTGATTTGACTCTTGAAACATATCATAAGGAGGATTTATCCTAATTCCTTTCATGTCTCCACTTCTAATCCAATCTAGAATACGGTAACTTGGACCATATCATATCGAGATGCTTAACAACAACATGTCGTTCAACCATAGTTGGCTCCACTAGTTTCTTGTTGTTAAAATTTCTGTTTCCCTTCTGTGGAAAGAAATCTTCATCATATCTCATCTTATAATCTTGGGGTTGAAGAAGAAAGACTTCATCTTGGATCAATAAATGGAAACCATATGATCGTAACATTGGTTCAGCATCAGAATAGCAGGTTCGTAAAACATTTGACAGCGTATTCATCCTTTCCTGTGGCTTCTTCTCAGATGTTCGTAAAACATTTGACAACACATTCATCCTTTCCTGTGGTTTCTGCTCAGATGTTCGTAAAACATTTGACAACACATTCATCCTTTCCTGTGGTTTCTGCTCAGACGTTCGTAAAGCATTTGACAACACATTCATCCTTTTCTGTGGCTTCTGCCAAGATTTCTCAATCATTGAAGCTCTTTGCCTAGTGTTCAAAGCTTTTGAATGACGTCACAAGACCACTTGAGAACAAAACTTAATAGGAATACAAATGAGATGCTGGTGTGACCAAAAAGTTGATCAAATTCTCAAGATATGCTAGTGATGAATTGAATAAGAGATACCAATTGATCTTGATATTGTCTCAGGCAAGGGTAAATGTGATATTGATCACGTTTTCTTCTGTAATGAGCGTTGTAGGAATTAGAAACACACCCACTATAAGAGCCATGTATGGAAAGATATCCGTAGAATTCTTGATGCTGGGGATGAAACGCACATGATAAACCAAATAGATGAAAACTCGGTTCAGTCTAGCTGGCAATGATAACCCCAGTAACATCGGGAAAGAGCAATATACATGAGCTTATCTCTTCAATGTCATCAAGTAAACAAAATTGATATGAAAAACAGCTTCGTAACCTCAACAGTATGGTTGAAACTAACTGACAGGAATCTCAAAGAAATATTTTCAATTATCACCGACACATAAAAGGCCAAATTCAGATTTCGAGGTCTCGAGGAACTGATCCTTGGATCGAATGGTCTACAAAGGGACCATTTTTATTCATGCAACCATGATGTAGCTTAACAAAGAACACACTG